GGGAGCCGGGGGGGGTCGGGCTCTGCTCCCAGGAACCAGCAGTAGGACAAGAGGGCACAGCCTTGAACTGCCCCAGGGCAGGTTTAGGTTGGACATTGGGAAGAAGTTCTTCCCAGAGAGAGGGATCAGCCCTTGGAATGAGCTGCTCAGGGAGGGGGTGGAGTCCCCGTCCCTGGAGGTGTTTAAGCAGAGCCTGGATATGGCATCAGTGCCATGGTCTGGGTGACAAGGTGGGGTTGGGTGATGGGTTGGACTGGATGATCTCAGAGGTCTTTTCCAACCTCGTTGATTCTGTGATCTTTAAACCATCAAAGCTTTGAGTTTTCTGGACTGGTTCTGATTAGCTTCAATAAAAAAAGCTTGAGGGAGTTGAGGATTGAACATCTGAGATCTTAAATTTATGGTCCTTCAAAGACATGTGGGAGTAACCATTAGATACAGAGGAGAATAACAAAGACATTATAGCCTGAAAGTGGGAGACTCTTTGTCTAAGGAAGAATGCTAAGAGAACCAAAGAACATGGACCAAAATAGAAAACAAATTTACATCCTAATCCCACAGCAAGCACCAAACCCTTTTTGCATCGCTCCTGGCTTTCAGCTTCTCTGGAGTGTTCCCGAGGGAGCTTCAAAGGCCTAGGATCACCTGAGTTTTGGGTGGCCATGGAGGGCTCAGTGAGTTCAGGCAAGGGGAGGGAAGAGCTGCCTGAGCAGGGAGCTACTGAACTCACCCTGATGGGATATGAAATATGGATGGGGCTGGGAACACCGCTGTTAGAGCTGATTTATTCCTGGCACCTTGCAGTGGTGCTGCTGGGGAGGTTGTATTACAGACTCATTGATCCCCCATTAATGATGGATTAACATTTAACAGTGTCCTCCCCCTCCATCAGTCCGTAGCTTTTCACATGGAGCTGGTGGGAGATGAATTTTCATTGTATGTAAAACTGATCTATACCAGGATTTCTTACCACTGGCTTCATTCTGCCTCTCTAATTTCAGTAGATCTCCCTTGAAAACTGGTGATTCATATTCATTTTTTTCACATGGTGTTTAATAATTTACGGCTTTGGGTGTTTTCAGGTTGTCCAAGGCACTGTTGGTTGTCCGGAATGCAGAGCTCCCAAGCAGCTGGCTGGGGATCACCTTGAACTCCCTGCAAGTGCCAAGGTGCTGTTTGCTGCCTGGGCTGGGCTGGGTTTGTGCAGGAGGAGGAGTTGGCAGTGACTCATCCTGGGAGCCAGGCTTGGCATGACATAGCTGAGACTGTGGGGTGACACAGCAAGACACCACACAGGGACACATATGGACTCTGGCCAAGCCACTTTGGCATCAGCAGCAGATGGAAAGGTGTGTGTGTCTGCTCAGCCATGAGCTGGGCATGCAGGGAGGACTGGAGAAGGCATCTGGATGTAACAAAAAAAGGCAGACCTCTATAGGAGGCCCAAGATGATCAGAGGGATGGAGCAGCTCTGCTGTGAGGAAAGTCTGAGAGAACTGGGATTGTTCAGCCTGGAGAAGAGAAGCTTTGGGGTGACCTGATTGTGGCCTTCCAGGACCTGAAGGAGCCGACAGGAAAGATGGAGAGTGATTATGTATAATAATCTCTCCTGGAATGACAGGACAAGGGGGAATGGCTTCAAACTCACAGAGAGCAGGGTTAGATGGGATATTGGAAAGAAATTCTGCCCTGTGAGGGTGGGGAGGCCCTGGCACAGGTTGCCCAGAGAAGCTGTGGCTGCCCCATCCCTGGAAATGTCCAAGGCCATGTTGGGTGGGGCTTGGAGCAACCTGGGCTTGAGCTGTTTGTATACATTCTTCCTGCCACATGGGCTAGTGGAAGGTGTCCCTGCTCATGGTAGGGGGAGTTGGAACAAGATGTTTAAAGTCCTTTCCAACTCAAACCATTCTATGATAACGATGTAAATGAAGGTATTCAGCAGGGACTTTGAAGGGCTGGGAGTCTCCAATGAGGTGAGGAATCCTGCCAGGTAAAACCCCTCACACAGCTGTGCCAGGAGACTTTGTGTCTGCAAGCCCTGCTCCAGGCTCTGCTATTTGTGAACACACCCTGCACTCAGGTTTCTGTCCTCTCCCGGCAATCCTGTCCACCCTCAACCCTTGAGATCCACCTGCCCTGTTCCTCCAGGCTTTTGACCCGGTGCAGAAGATGAAGTTGCTCCAAAGCCAGCAACTTTTGGCTACAGGGTACACCTGAACATTGTCCCTGTGCTATGGCTGCTCTGGGATCTGCATTTCCTGCCTGCAGTTTCCAGGAGTAAAAGAAACAACCTATGAAATTCTTCTTCTCACAACTGTGCTAATTCATTAGCACAAGCTTGTGAGCTGTTTCTGCTCAACTGATGAGCAGTTCCTGTGGTCAGTAGGGTCAGTGGGGTTTAGGGGATCCTTGCAGAAAGCCAGTGGTTCACCCCTTTCCAATGGTTCGCCCCTTTCCCACCCTCAGGTGACAAGCCCCACTAAGGGATGGGTTGCTTTGAAGTGACAGACTGTGAGGGAAACAGGCTGTGGGGACAGAGTGTCTCAGCACAGAGGGGGATCAAGGGGCAGCCAACATGGGGGTTATGGAGCCACAGAGCACTGCTTCCACATTTCTACAATTCAGCCATTTTTGCCCATCCCTTCACAAATGACCTCTCTGGCCATGGAGTCTCTCTCTGTGTAACACAACCTGGAGCCCCAAGGTGGGGAGGAGACACCAGCCAAGAGGGTCAAAGGACACTGGTGACTTTCTGGTCCTGCCAGCTCATTCCCCACCCACCCCAGGCACAGAGAAACATAAAACCACAACCAAATGGATAGTTTCTGCTGTTTTTTTTCACGTAATTTCTTTTAACTGGCATTAAAAGGATTGCACCTTCTGATACAGATCATTCATATATATACAAATAATTTATACTCCATGTACATAATTTACAACTGTACAGAGTAAACTCTGGATGCCACAGACCACACTCCAACCCAACTCACAGTCTTGTGGCTTTTTAAGCATTTTCCTTGTGTGCTGGGGTGCACAAAACCCCCAGTGAAGCCCCAAAGAGGCAAATGTGTGCAGAGCCACTGGTCACTCCTTAAACCCCATATTATCCCAGCTCACACAGGAGAACAGCTGGTGCAAGCAGGCTGTTCCTGACTTGTTTGTGAGCCTCCTGTCTACCTTCAGCTTCCTTCAGGACCAGAACGTTTCCTGCCTAAGTCTGGCACAGGTGAACATCAACAATTTTTGATTTATGAGGTGAAAAACAGTACTGAAGGACCAGATGCTGTGGCTGAGACCTTGCAGCCTTGTCACTCCTGTGGGGGACATTAAGGCTTGAGGACTGTGCTTGGCTCTGCCAGGAGCAAGGGGCTACATCTGCCAGCATTCCAAGGTAGCTTCCTTTGGAAATGGTCATGCTGCTGTTGCCCAGTGTGATCTTCCAACTGTGCAGGTTCAGGATTAAATATTTCTTGGGACCTGGTGGCTTTTTAAACTGCTAAATAACCTGTCACCTGCTGACAGCTCTGGAGCTGCTTGTGCCCCCAGGAGTGTGTTTCAGCAGTTGTTTTGGGTGACATGACACACCCAAAGTGAGAGCAAATCAACCTTTAGCTTGGGAACAGGAAAGGGCAATGCCTGCTGTGCCAGGTGACAGGAGAGGGAACACAGCTGCCCTGTGCTTGCTGGCACAGAGAGGGACCAGGGAGGGTTGAACCCCTAAACCCTGATGCATGTGGTAAGAAATAGAGGTAAGATTTCCATGGGGCCTAACCAGCCAAGACAACCCACAAGCTGAGAGCAGTTCTGCTGAAGGGAAACTCCTCTCCAGTCCCCCAGACTGGGATATCTGGAGGTGGGCTCCTTGTTCCAGGTGTGGGTGGTTAAACAGAAGTGACTTTCCAGAGGTGCAGCTCCGGCTGGGCAGACCTGGCACAGACAGGCCAGAGGGGTGGATTTGTTCCATCTGTTGGGGCTAAATAAGGATTTGCCAGTGTCACTGCAGCTGGTTGGCATCACCCTGGAGCATGGAGCTGGCTCCAGGGATTCCCCAGCAGTGTCAGCCAGAGATGACTGGGGAGAGCTGTTATGTACACCTACAAAGCTAAAGGACACTTTCACACTTTCTTTGGGCTGGTGATCCAAGCAAGCACCCCTGAGTGAAGGCAGCCCAGGTAATGAGTTTTTGGGAGCCAAGAGAATAAAGAAATGATAGTGTCATAGAAGGAATGTCCCAAAATTCCTCCAATGTGAATTTATGGGGGACTCCCTGGACTCCAGAAACCACAGATCACATTCAGAAAGTCAATAAACACACACGGTATTGCATCCATTATTTCACTCAGCCAAAAACTGGAATGAAGACAAGGTCCTCCTCCTGGATCATCCTGAACACTGGGTCACTCTGACTCACTCCACAACTTCTGGTGGAAGCAGGAGCTGTGCTGTCCCTGCTCAGCCTGGCCCAGCTGCAAACCAGGGAAGGGTTTCCACACCATGGGAGCAGCAAGAGAAAGGAACAAAGAAGTCTTTCAGGCATCCTGCCCATCCATCAATCCCAGGAGCACTCCTCTGCACAATGCAGCAGGCACAGACCAAACCAGGACTGCAAGGCAGGCTGGAACACTGAGACATTGCTGGCTGACCTCATGGGAGAGGTCCAGTCCTGCTGGGACTGTAGGAGGTTGTTCCCAGGATGTACAACTGGAGGAACGCACCCAGCACTCGTGAGGTTCCAGACAAGATGCAGAGAGGGTGTATAGTGAAACCACAGTGAAATCCCAGGTGGACTCCAAGTTGCAGCTCAGATGTCCAAGAGCTCCTGTGCAGCCTCCATATCTGCTCAGTGAAGGTCTCTGCTTCGAGCAGAGCCAAGCATATCCCACAGCACTTCCTGGGCAGCACAAGCAGTTCTTGCCCTGTTCCTCACTGCCAAATATGGCAGCAGATTTCCCATGTCCCCCATTCATTGTTATCCCATGTAGCCCTTTGAAACAACAGGAGGTTTTCCACTGACTTCCAGAGAAGCCTCATTGAACACACATTGTGGCCAGGCTTCCCTAAATCAGGCAGGGAATTTGGTTTGCCCAAATACATCACCCTGTGCCAGAATGAAGAGTTTGCTGTGCAGACCCCGGCAGTCAGGCCCTGATCCCGTGCTGGGCTGTGAGACATCACCACAATAAATATTACTGCCAGCAACTGCCCTGGGATGCACAGCACAGCAAGCACCACCACCTCAGCCAGGTTTTCTACCCAGTCTTCCTGAAATGAAGAAGCTCAGAGGTTTCCCCTGACTTGTGCAAAAGGTTAAAACTCAGTTCTGCAGCAAGACTCTGCCCCTTGGCAGGGGGCTGTTAGCCATGGTCACACTGTCACCCAGCAGGGCATGGCTGTCACCCCGAGCCCTATCCACCCCTGCTCTCGCAGCTTTTCCCATCATTACCATTGTAAAATCACCATTGGTGCCTTTTAGTGTGTTTTCTTTTTCCATGTCCTCTGTGATGCCCCAATGTCACATCTCCCACAGCAGCTTTCTCTCGTTTTCTTCACTGCGTGACGCCTGCAAACGTGTTGATGGGCAGGAGCAGAGACTTGGGCATGTATTTCACAAGCCCCACGTCTCCTGTTTCGTGAAGGCTGAATTTCATGGTCCTTGTCTTTTGCAAGCAGTAGCTGGGCTCTAGGCAAGGAGACACTTCCAGGCTGCAAGAGCACAAGAACACATTTGCTGCATGTACAGATCTGCCTTTGAGGGCCAAAGCCTCATCTCAGATGAAACACCAGGTCTCTCCCCGACTGCTGAGGGAGGATGGTCACACTGAAATGTGCAGCTGCTTTTATGCTTTTTTGCAACTGTGTTTGGCTGCAAAGATGAGCTGATGTGTGTCAGTTTGACCACACCACCAGTGCCCATAGCCTGGCCCAGCCTGATTCTCAGGAATTCAGTTTATGTGTGTTACATGAGGCCCACAGACCTTGAACTACCTGCTTGTTTCCAACACATCATATGTCACTTCTACAGGCACATTAATCCCTGCTACTTTCACAGGGCTGGATTCTCTACCCCTTGAGACTCCCTGGTGAGAGGTACAGTCAGTGGAGAGAGCATCAGCCTCATGAGATGATTCAGGAGATCCAGGATCTGTTTGTCCCTGGAGGTACCAATTCTTCTACTGTCCTAACGACAGCACCTTATGTACAATGAAAAACCATTTTGTTTCTCACGCCATCACCCAAAAACACAAAGCACCCCTCTGCCCTGCATTCCCTGGAGAAGGCCTTTTGTCCTGCATGAGGATGAGGACTAGGACTCCCTGGGAAACAGCCCTTCCAGGGAGATGGGCAGAGCCTGGCACACATGGCACTCTCACCTGATCACATTCCTGTAGGTTCTTCTGCTGTCCTTATCCAGACGCACCGTGAAGGGTCTCTGCTCTGTGCTCCTGATCGTGATATTTCGTGTTTTCAACCTGTTTGCCACAGCCTGGATGGAGAGAGGAGGAGGAGCCCAGTGAGTGTGTCTCTCCCCTCCCTTGGCTGCGCGGTGGTGGGTGGTGTGTGCGTGCTGGGTATGAGAGGGACAGATGAGGATGTTCCTCTGGTTTTTATTTTTTAACCTCAGATGTGACACAAGGCAAATCTTTCCCCTGTAATCACAACCTGGTCAAGTTTTGTAAGGGCAGGCTTTCCAAACTGGCAATGCTTGCACAGGCTACAAGGTTTGGGATGTCTGATGTGGGGCATGGTCTGTTCTCCACGGCTGTGGGGTATCTTTGTGGGCAGTGTGGGCTGCAGCACCTTGCTGTTCCCAAAAGCCAGATGAAAATAAGAAAAACTGTGCTGGCTACTTAAAAACACCAACTGAGAGACTGGAGACTCCAGGGCCTGAATGACCAAGGCACACCAACACTTAATGCCACCCAAACTGCAGGGACAGGTTCCCATGAGGCAGCGTTGCCTCTGGGGTCTGACCTCTCATGCAAAACAAAAAGGACAGAAGCCCAAGATTTCAGTCCCTTCTCTTACATCTCCACCTTTCTGAGCTGATAAATAGATTAACTGAATTTCCTGCTTCACGTTTGTGCTTTGTTAAATTATTTTTTGGGATTTCTGTGGGGAATAACATGCAGGGTCTGCAGCTGAAGGTGTGGAGTAAATGGAGTGGGTAGCAAAACTACAGACCCTCTCCTGCACCCAAGTGGAGCCACGAGGACTGGGGCTAAGCTTTATTTCTCTGCTTTGTCCTGTGGACACAGCTCAGTCATTCAGGGTCTCCTGTGACAGGATTCCACGTTGCATTGACCAGCAGGGGCTTTGGCTCAAAAATCTGGACTTTTCCATGGAAAGTAACTACAAAGCACCCTCTAAGCAGGGTGGTCCCAAAGCCTTCTCCTCCCCACAGAGTGTTTCCCCTTTCACTGCTGTTGCAAGGGATTTCCAGGCAGTGACCAACCCCTCCAGGGCCGTGAGGATCCCACAGGAACTCACTGAGAACGACCGTCCTGACAAGTTGCTGGTCCTGATGATTTCAGTGATGGTCACATTCAGACACACGAGGTCTGCAACAGAAGCAGCATGTTAATGTCAGGCCGTGGCAGGATCTCAGCTCAGCTTGCAGTAGGGCTGGTGCCATACCCCACATTTTAGGTGCACTGCCTGTGGGATACATAGGGCAGCAGAAAAGGAGGACTCTGGCAAGCTCCAGGGGCTAGGGATTCATGTAGGATCATGCTCAGGGTGGGAAGCTCACAGGGCAAGGTGAAAGTGGAAGGCTGGAGTAAAAGGAAGATGCTGCCAAGCTTAGATCAGACACATCATTCATGAGAAAACACACCTCCAGACTGTGGTGATACCAATATATGCCTGTCACTGATTCAACCCCACAGCCCAAGCACAACTGGCACTAAGGATTGTCCTCAGATTTACTCTGTTGAGTACTTGAAAACTCAGCAAACCCTCCTCACATGGTTCCAAGCAGGAAGAACCCACCTTCAGCCTCCTGAGAAGGGATGGCTTTCATCACCAGACCTGTGGAGCGCAGGGACATGTCCAGCTCCTTCTCCCGCTCACTCACCACGACCTGCAGGCAAAGCTCTGTTAGTTCCTCCTGGCAGAGAGGTCTGGGGCAGGTTTTCACAAACACAGGGTTATCTACCAGGCTTTTAAAGCTCACCACAACTTCTCTGTCCTCTCCTTTTAGGAGATCTGTGCCATGCTGGGTATCCCTGTGAGCAGAGACATTTTGGGCTGCTGAGAGCCCTGCTTACCTTTCTGTATGTTACTGTGAGATCTATGCCAGGGCCATCCAGGGTTGTTTTCTTCTTGGTCATGCTTAACTCTGCAAGGAGGGAACCGAGTGGGATTGAGGTTTCACTCATGCCACCCGTCTGTGGTGAGCAGAGGGGAGTTCTTCCATGGGATGAGCCACCTCCTCCATCACAGAGTGGTCTGGCACATCAGCCCTTCTCTCCTTGCCTACGGGAGCTGAGGCTCTGTGCACTCAGCACCTCCCAGTGAGATGGACCCACTCAAGGGTCTGTGCCCAACCTCAATGGCAAACATCCATTGGATTGGACACCACAGGGCACTGATGGAAGGGCTGGATGTGCCTTCTGTAATGGCCCAGCCTTCAAGCACTCTTGTTCCATAACTGGCACCTCGAGGAAGCTGGATTTCTAATAGGGAAAACACCTGGCAAAGGGGATGGCTGTAAAGCCCAGCTTATTTCCTCAACAAAATTAGGGCGCTGATCCAACTCCAGAGGGTCCTGGAGCCAACCAAAGGCACAGTCTACAAAAGCTGGTTGAGACCAGGAGCCAAGTGACTGCAAGGTCTCTCATTTAGCCTGGTTTCACGTGCCTGAGAGGGAGATGGAGGTGTTTAGGGAAGCCTCCTGCTTGTCCCATAACATGGCTTTGGCTGCTGCAGGCTGAGGGACAGGGTAAGTGGGGTCTGAGGGTGGCAGGACCCCTGCCCAGGGTGGCAGCCCCTGCTGCAGGGCTCAGCTTGGTGGGACACACACACCTCTGTGGGAGATGCTGTCCTGCCCCTGGGTGCAGAGCTCCGTGAGGAACACGTCCTCAGCCGGCTCCTGTGCCGGGTCGTTGAAGAAAATCTGAAAGAGAGGAAAATCTCTTAAGAACGTCTCCTGGGTCACCTGTGGCCTCACCATGGCAGCCAGGGCACCCATGGGATGGGGAGAACTGCTTTGGCTCTGCTTCCTGAAGCTCAGGAGCACGGCAGACCTTGGCCCTGGTCAGTAGAGCCACGGGCAGTGTCCCCTGCCACTGGATGTCCCTGTGCACTCACGATGAGTCAGCTCCCAGCCATCCACCCCCTGGTCACAGGGAGCAGCTTCCCAGGCCTGGCTGAGATGTTGGCTGAGCTTCAAGGTACCTAATTTCTATCTGATACACTTAAATCATCAGGTCACTCCAGCCCTAGGAATTATTTTCTTTTCATGGTCTTGTACTGAGCAAACTGTGAGGAGAAGGTCCTGGAGAACCTCTCCCAGCCCTACATCCAGCTCCTGTGGGACTTGAGTCACACTGCTAGGAAGCTTTCAGCAGCCAAAGGGGAACAGTGTGCTCTTAACCAAAAAGGCAAAACAGGGTCAAGTGTTTCCAGATGAAGCAATATCACACCCTGTACGGCAAGAGATTAGTTTAGGTGCGTCTATCTGAAAACCACATCTGGAATCAGTTCCTCTTCCCCTGCTTGAATCACCCACTCTCTCAGCTGCTGTTGGTTTTTGTCTTGGAGGAGAAATGAGTGGAGTAAAAATTCACCAAAAAAATCAAAATCCCCAGCCACACAAGCTGAGGACCAGGTGCTCCAAGTCTTTACAGGACACATGTTATTAGTTCAAGTCCTGGTGAAGCTACACCAGGAATTACCAAAGCTCTTCCAGCTCTTTGCATGTACCAATTTGCTCATCCAAAGGCTGCTCCTGTGCTGTTGCCACAGTGGCTACAAGTAGATTAAAAGGAGATCTGTGCATCAGTGCCAGCCCAAGCTTTGAAGGGGGGAAACTGCCAGAGGAGCAGAGCAGGGGATGATGTTATGTGCCCAAAGACAGTTTGTCTTGGCTCTCAGATCTGGCATATCAGATGCCAGGTCTCACTCTGATACCTTTTCAGAGAAAAGCTGAGAGGAAATAAACAAAATGGTGTTTCAGGAAATCCTGCAAAGCCCCTCTGAGGTACAGAAAGGTTTTGGTAAAAGCTGCTCAGAAAAGTCCTGTTTGCTCACAGAACAAGCAGCAGGAGGTACCAGGGCTCCTAAGCACAGAGCAGGAAATCTGTGTCCCTTCAAGGCTCACTTTTCTGACCTGGGTGATCCTGAAATAGCCTTTCCAGGATCACTGACTCCAGCTGAGCTGTGCTACACGGAGTCACTGAATCTGGGAACCTTGCAAGGAGAGGACAGGCTGGGGGGCACAGGGATCCAGATCTGCTGGAAGTCCCCGGGCCCTGCTGACTCTGCACAGCTCCACAAGCCCTTGCAGGGCCATGTGAAGGCTCAGGAGATGTGACACCCACCTTCACAGCATAGACCTGGAAGCAGACGGGCTGGAGGCCCATGCGGACGTAGTAAGCGATGACGTCTGTGATGAACAGATCGGTCACGAGGTGTTTGCTTGGCGAGGGAGGCTGGGCAGGGGGGCAAATCACACCATGGATCAGTCCACAGTCACTTCTCAGAAACCCTGCCACAAACCCTCACACCCTCCCAGACAAACAGTGAGTGATGAGCTGTCGCTCTGCCCTCACTGGTCAAAGCAAATGGGAGAAGCCAAGGCTGTGCCCACCCGACAGCTTTTTTTTGTAGGCTGTCAATGATGGCTCAAACTGCCAGGAAATGAGAGCCAGGGGTATTTCAGCAAACGCCTCATCTACCTTTTCTTTCTTGAAATCTGCCATTTCCTGCCCCTTGGCCAAAAAACCCCACCACAGCAAATGGGCCTTGTGGGCTGGGGCAGTGTCAGCCACAGACACCTTCCAGCTGCCGGGCCCAGGGGAGGGTTTGCAGGAGAAAAGCTCTGTCTGGGGCACAGAGGAGCCCTGCAGGGGCACAAACTCATCCTCGGGTGTGTTTGGGAAATGGGCCAGGCTGGGGAGGTGGGAAGGTTTTCCTCATACCATGGTGGCCAGCTTGGGAATCACGTGGCACAGGGTGTTGATGTTGCTCTCGTACCACGGGTCGGCCCTGCCCAGGTACCTGGCCACCTCACAGAGCTCCTCGTGGCTGCTGGAAGGGTGGTCCTGTGGGAGAAACACAGCTCAGAGGATATACCAGGAGCCATAGAGAAGCCAGAGGGAGCTGTGCCCTTCCCTGCTTGGTCCAGAGAAGATGGCAAACTCACTTAGGGGGTGCTCTAGGGAAAAAATTAAGTGAAGAATGAAAAGAAGAAATAATCATTTTTATAAGAGCATGTTTGTCAGGGTTCACAGCCAGCTCTGGGCCAGCTTAACATATTATGAGAAGTGCAAGTGTTTATTTGTCACTGTCTTGAGGCTGTCAGAGGGGAAAAGACATGTCCAAGATAAACTGCAAGGTAGTGACTTACAGATCTAGAACTGGGGCCGTGACCAAGGAGGCAAAGCCCTCAGTGAGCAGCAACTGCTTCCCCTAAGCATTTAGGAGGTGGGAAAAGAACAAGCACTTTGCTAAACCTCATCAGTCCTCCTATAGGTGGGTCACAGAAGCAGGACTGAATGAGCTGCCACCCATCAGGGAGGCTGGAGCAACCTGAAGGTCTGTGGAGCTGATGGGTTCCCAAAACCAGTCTGCAAACGGAGCCCAACCACCCTGACTTGGCTCCCACCCTCCTTGTTCTAGGAACAGGGCATGAACGGATGGGAATTCCTGTATCCCCCCTGTTCTCCCTCCAAAAACACCGTCATCACTTGCCGGCAGTTGGCAGCAGCACCCGGAGCTGCCGTGCTCAGACTCACCACAACAGCCAAGGTGTTTGGCTGCCCTGCCACCACCGGGATGTAGTAGAACTGCAGGTTCAGCCTGGGAGTCAGGAAAACCCGCCGTGTTTCCCGTTTCCTTGAAATGGAAAAAAAACAACAGTCGTGTCCGAAGGGAAAGAGGGAAGAACACGGCTCTTGGCCAAGGCTGGGCAGTGCCAGGAGACTGCAGCTGCTCTGCAACAGGAGCATGTGCCCTCCTCGTGTGCCTCCCTTTGCCCTGTGTGACAGGATGGCAGTAATGCCCCTGGGTTCCCAAACTGAGCACGGGGACATGATGGGGAGCCAGAGACAGAATTTTTTTCTTGGACTGGTGGTCCCTCTGCACCCAGCTCTGACCCCCAGGCTGCTGCCTGCACCACAGCCTAGACCCACCCCATGCTGCTCTCCTGGCCCAGGTGAACCAGCTGGGAAGAGCCAGCTGGAACACAGCTTTTCTTTAGAATTTTTCCCTTTTCCATAGGAAAACATCCTGCCTCGATTACTCTTTATTAACCCACTCCATGGACAGAGAGAAGAACTCGCTGTGTGCATTGTTTGGGCCAACAGAGCCAAATGATGCCATGCAGACCGTGAAGTCTGAGTGCCAAACACCGGAGTCCCACCCTGTTCCAGGTAACGCTGGAGCCCAACCCCATCCCCAGCCATCCTGGCTGCTTCCAAAGGCTGAAGAGCACAGTCCCCACTCTGTCCTGCCCTTCCCCAAGCCCCCAGAGCCCAGAAGGCTGTGGCCAGAGTTACCTCAGAGAGTGGTAGGCCTGGGCCAGGCGCCCCAGGATGCGGTCATCCCCCAGCAGCACGATGCGGGCAGTGTGCAGCCTCTGGAGCGGGGCTGCAGCATCCTGGGGGACTCCTGATCTCTTCTGCAGCTTCACTGGGGGCTTCACCCCGGGACTGCTGCAGCCAGCCTGCAGGAAGGCCACACTCTCCAGTGGTGATGGCTTTTTTTTAATGCCGCCCCTCCTGTGCAGCCGGGATTGCTCCGTTTCGGCGCCGCAAGGGGCCAAGGGCTCCTCCACAGCCACGGGCAGGTCTCGTTCAATCCCACTGTCGGTGGAGAGGACAGAGAAGCGGGTCTGCTCACAGCATTCACAGTCTGAGATGTTGTCCTGGATCTCGAAGTTGTCCAGGTCCTGGCCGAGGCAGTCGGGCTCGCAGCTCTGTGAGAGCGGGCGGATGAACAGCACCAATTCCTTCCCTGCGGGCAGAGAGGGGCTTGAGGAGGGAAATCCAACCAACTCCAGGCTGAGCCCTTGCCCTGCCCTGGCTTCCCTCTTCTCAGGCAAACTGTAAAGCAAATATCTCCACCAGTGGGCCCAAGGGGAGTCTGTCTTTCAGTCCCATTTCACATTGCACCATAAAGAGAGCTCAGTATCACTCAAACTATAGAATTATAGGCTCACAGAAATGTTTGGGTTGGAAGGGACCTTGAAGATCATCTCATTCCAATGACCTGCCATAGGCAGGGACACCTCCCACTAGGTTGCTCAGAGCTCCATCCAACCTGGCCTTGAACACTTCCAGGGATGGGGCATCCACAACAAAATCAGGTACTCTGGACACATCCTGCTGCAGCCTGTTCCCCTCCTCACTCCTTCAGCCCATTACACCCCTAATCCCCTGACCACAAGAAGGAAGGCTGCTGCATTCAGCACAAAACCCCACGAGCTTGGCCCTTGGGTGATGGTTACAAGACTCACTGCTCAGGAGTCAGGGCTAAATGACAAGTTTTGCACAGGACCCCCACCCTCAGGCACCACCCCAGTTCCCCACAGCCCCCCTGGGGCACTCACAGAGCTGGTTGTCTTCTGTCCAGAGGTGAAAGCTGATGGTGGGGTTGGGCAGAGGTGTGTCCTGCAGCCCTCCCAGGGGAGCATTGCCTGGGGGAAACAAGGTTGCTTGTAACACACAGGAGCATTTTCCCCACTCAGGTTCATGAACCCCCCCAGTGCTGAGCACCAGGCACTGGCTGAGAGACCCTCTGATGAGTCCCAGGGGCTCTCCCACCCTGGTTGCTTCTGGCCAGATGTGAGGCTGTAATCACAGGGCCTCTGCTCTCACAAATCAGCTGTAAGAAGATGCCTACACCCCGAGTGGAAGGGAGGAATGAAAATAGGGAGGCTGAGACAGGGGCAAGTGAAGGACCTTGCTTTGCAGAGAGCAGAGGGGTTGCAGAATAAATCAAACGTTCTTCACCAGGGAGACCTCTGGTCCCACCATCACCATCTCTTTTTAACCCATTATGGCTCTGGGAAAGGCAGTGACAGACTTTAACAGCTCACTGCATCCAAAAGGTGGAGATGGTCCCACTCCTGTCCCTGCACCACTGGCTGCTATTCCTCATATCTTGCAGTGGAACAGTCTCCAGATATTTTTGGGGAGGGGATTGGGACACAGGGAGTAGCCAGGAGAGGAACCATGACCTCCATTTCCCTCTGGTCTATCCCAGATTTGTGTGAGGAGCTGTAATGACTGGAGACCTTTTTTATAATCTGTGTAGCCCCAGTGGCACCAGGCTGGAAAAGAGCACTGCCAGGGATGGGAGGAGATGGCAGTGCCACAGTCCACCACATCATAGGTGGTTTGGGTTGGAAGGGACCTTAAAGACCATCCAGTTCCAACCCCTGCCATGGGCAGGGACACCTTCCACTAGCCCAGGTTGCTCCAAGCCCCGTCCAACCTGGCTTTGAACATTTCCAGGGATGGGGCAGCCACAGCTTCTCTGGGAAACTTTGTACATCAGTACAAGGAAGTTTCAGGGAGGGGAGCACAGTGTCCCCCCTGTCCAGGCCATGGCAGGATGTTCCTTGCACCAGCAGAGCACCTCAGAGCCTGTCCAATCTCCCCCAGCTGCCATCTCTGACACCCTTTGCAAACAACAGAGACAGCTGAATCAGGAGCAGAGATTGCCACAGTCCCTTTCCTCAGGTGACAAATCTGCCTTCCATTGCCAGTTTTCCATCCTGGCCATCAGGTCACTGCAAGGACCTGATCCCAGTCCTGCTGCTAAAGCAGAGGCAGAGGGAAGGTGGGGATGGACACCTATGGGAGGGCATGGCAGAGACACAGCAGGGAGGCGAGGGCCTGCCAGCTGCTCCTCTCTCCCACTGGGAATGGCTGGCTGGAGCTCACCTGCTTGCGAGGAGCTGAGGAGGGCCCGGTAGATCTCCTCCAGCCTGGCTGTGTGCTGGCCACGGGCTGTGCTCCCCTCGCTTCCTGCACACTCCACTGCCACCACCACCTGCTGGAACCAGTGCTCCACCTCGCTCATGGGCATATCCTGCCGTGGGAAGCAGCTGTTAACACCCAGAGGTGTGAAAAGAGGGGATGCTACACGGGCAGAGCCATGGGAGGGGGCAGAAAGAGGGCAAATGAGTCCTGCAAAAATCGTTTCATAGCAGAGGACACAAAGGTCCTCTTGTCCCCGGGGAAGGCTGGCTGTGCTGTCTGCTTAAAGCTTTTTTCTGGCAGGTTTGCAGCTGATGGACACTGTGTCCCCCGGGGAGTCAGCAGCAGTGCTGGCACTTCAAATGACTCTGAGGAAATGGGGACAGCAGTCACACAAAGGCGTCCTTGGAGCGGAAATTGCTGAGAGCCCCTCCAAAGGTGCCTTTCTGAACCAGGCATTTGTGTTCCTGTGGCTCCACAGCTCCTTCAAGGAGGCTTTGGAGAAAACTCATTGAAACTGTTCCACATTGAGATGTTTCTGCAATGCCCAGGGGCTCACAGGGGAGCTGTGTTTCAGTGGCAGAGCCCTGCTCTGCTGGGCAAAACTGACAACTCAAACTTAAGATTCAAAACCTCTGGCTATTTATAAAACCTGTTTTATATTTGAAGACTGTTTTAGTTTTACACCAGCTCTGCAAGTAACACTGGGGCTGCCAGGGGTGGAGACCAGCAGTGAGGAGCTGGGTGGGGGCAATCTCTCCACTTGACAAAACACCTTTTTCTTCTTCAAGGTGTCCAACAAGAGCAGGACAATTGGAAAACCATGGGTGGTGCTGCAGGGGTGCTGCTGTTACCTGGAGTCTGCCCTTCAGGGCGCCGAGGTCGCAGCCCTCGCCCAGGGCCGCCTGCATGGCGTGGCTGATCACGCAGCACATGCACGCCCGGGGGCTCTGGGACACCTGAGCTGCCTCTGTGTCGGTGAGCAGAGCGTTGCAGATGGCTTCAGAGAGCAGCTCGGGGTCAGCAAAGATGAAAATCCTGTGTGGGGCAGGAGGGTGGGAAAAAGAGAAGAGAGGAGAGGAGAGTATTCCCTGTTACTGACATCATAGAATCCCAGAATATGCTGAGTTGAAAGGGACCCAAAAGGGTCGTCCAGTCCAACTCCTGGCCCTGCACAGGCCCATCCCCAAGAGTCACCCCCTGTACCCCAGAGGATCAGCCAAACCCTCCTGGAGCTCTGGCAGCCTTGGGGCTGTGCCCACTGCCCTGGGGAGCCTGGGCAGTGCCCAACCAGCCTCTGGGGGAAGAACCTTTGGCTGAGATCCCACCTGAGCCTGCCCTGACACAGCTCCAGCCATTCCCTGGGTGCTGTCCCTGGTCCCCCCAGAGCAGAGCTCAGTCCCTGCCCCTCCTCTGCCCCTGCCCAGGGAGTTGTAGACTGAGCAGCTCACGTCTCCCTTATTCCATGTAGAGAAAAAGTGTTGCTGTTCATATTCCCCTTCTCCACCCTGTCTCCCCACCAAGGGAAGCTTCCTGCTTCCCAGGACCACAGAAATAAATTGGGACACACAAGAGGAATAATGCTCCTCCCAAAGCAAAGCTCATTTTGGCAAGGTACTGGATGCCACCAAATTGTGTCCCCCACGTACTGCCACGGGGTTGAGGTCCAGATTGTCTGTTCCATCCAAGATTAATTTAGAGCACTGGAAAAGGACAGATTTCACTAAGAGACTGCAAAATAAAAGTATCAGCACATTCAAGGAGGCACTACTCACTTTTCCTGGTAAGGGTATGGATCGCTTTTGAGGCTTTGTTCAGAAATGACCATTCTTTGGTACAAGGTACCTGGCAAGTGCAGGGAGAAAAAAACATGGGAGTCAGAGCATGAGAAATAACACAACTCCTTGGAGCAGCTGAGTGCTACTCCCAGTTGTAGAGGCTGGTGGTGGCTCTGCCAAGTCCCATTGCTGGGGAGATGATGTAAAGGAGCCAAGAATCAGGCCCAGAGTTAAAAATACTCAAAGGCAAAGATAGGTCATGCTACATAAAAAGAAAACCCCTTCTATTCAGGGATGATTTCCTGTGTTTCCCTTCCTTTGTTTAGTGGATTATGAGCTTGGGAGGAAGCAGGAGGAAGAGCCCTGCTCCTGGCCTCCCTCCCCAGGGCCACACGGGGGGACAATGTCTGGGGGGATATGAGGAGCACAACAGGCTTCTGAATCAGGAGAGATGTATTTTAGCCTCACCCAGCTCTGGGGAGGGGAAGATACACCCACCTGGCACTGCTCAGGTACAATCATCTTGGGAACCTTGTGGTGCTCTGAGGGAAGCCCCACTGGAGATCCCCATCTCTCCAGGCTGAATCATTCCTTTACCAGAAATCAGGTGAGATAAAGGTGGACCTTGGAGCTCCAGACAAAGCAGTACTGGGGAAGGGTGGTTGGGGTGATGGGGGTGAGCTGAGAATACCTAAAATGGCATTTTTTTATTTCCCACCATGTTTCTCATGTTTTACCTCCCCCTCACAGGGTGTCTGCACCCTGCACTGTTCTGAAGGATTACTTTTAAAGACTCCTATTAAAGAAAACTGTAAAAAGAAGAATTTTAAAAAGCAACATGGAGGAAAAGGGAAACAAAGTTGTCCCTTAGCTTGCTTTTTAGAAGGGACAGTTCTCTGCAGACACTACTGGCATTTTAGTGTCTACAACCTGATGCACAGGTACTGGAGGGACAGCTCATGCTGGGCAGCTGCAACTCAGTCTCAGATGCAAAATTCACTTTGCAAAAAGGAGACCTCCACAAAACACACTGAGATGCCCAGGCTGGGAGCAGAAACATCCTGTTTCCCATATAGAATCATAGAAAATGCTGAGCTGGAAGGGACCCACAAGGATCATCCAGTCCAACCCTCAGCCCTGCACAGGCCCATCCCCAAGAGTCACCCCCTGTGCCCCAGAGCATCAGCCAAACCCTCCTGGAGCTCTGGCAGCCTTGGGGCTGTGCCCACTGCCCTGGGGAGCCTGGGCAGTGCCCAACCAGCCTCTGGGGGAAGAACCTTTGTCCAATATCCAACCTAACCCTGCCCTGACACAGCTCCAGCCATTCCCTGGCTGCTGTCCCTGGTCCCCCCAGAGCAGAGCTCAGTCCCTGCCCCTCCTCTGCCCCTGCCCAGGAAGGTGGAACTGCACTGAGGTCTCCCCTCAGTCTCCTCTTCTCCAGCTGAACACACCAAGTGACTTCAGCCACTCCTCATAATGCAGAGGGTGTGTATCCATATCTATATCTGTATCTATATCTATATCTATATCTATCTATATCTATATCTATATCTATATCTATATCTATATCTATATCTATATCTATATCTATATATCTATATATCTATATATCTATATATCTATATCTATCTATCTATATTTTTATACATATAGCTGGCCTTAGATGGGCTGGCCTGGACTCTGGTGTGCCTGCACTGACCCCAAAGTTTTCTGCTAGTAACTAAGGCTCAGCAGCCTGAGGTCAGGAGAGGGGGACCCTCCCACCCAAATGCATGCCCAAGACCCCCAGGCATTTGGCCATCTCCCTGCCATGGCTCACTGCATTGGGCAAAGGCCAGCTCAGGCATGGAAATCCCCCAGAGTCCCCATGAGCTGTTCTTGGCTGGGGTGTAGTTGATTTTCTTCATGACACCCCAGTCCCGTTGCCTCGAGGGCCCAGCCGTGCCCGGTGCCATGCAGGGACAGAGCAGGGCACCATCATACCTGGTGCTGTCCTCTCCACCTTCAGCCTGGTGGCATAGTCCAGCCCAATGGTGCAGAAAGGCTTGGGCAGGGTCAGCAGCTTCTTGCAGAAGTCGTAGACTCTGCCACAGAGCTCCTCAGAGATGCAGGGAGCCTGGAGAGAGATAAGGAGATGCCACGGGCAGGGATCCCTGATGCTGCTCTCCCCACAGACCCCAGAACTACACCAAATTCTATGTGGATTTAAATGCAAAATGAAGCAGAATGTTTGGAAACCTCCAGCAATAACCACTGAAGGATGTGGGCGCTTTTTTTACCAGGTTGTGGCTTCCTGCACCACCAGGCACCTAAACACCTCCAGCAAAGCAGGTCAGCTGGAAGGACCTGTCACTCCTGTGCGTGTCACAGGTGACAAAGTCTCACAGCACCCTGGGAAATACCCAACTGAGCCCACCCATGGCAGTCCCAGGGCTTTGCTGAGCAGGGGCTGGGCTATTCCAGCACAGGAACAGGTCCTGAGTGACTTCAAGTGGCCCCTCCTGTGGCTTCTGATTTCCCTGGCTCTTGCCCCAGCAAGGCCCACGGTAGGTTACCTTGATCAAGGTGTACATCAGGGTGTGCAGCAAGGGGATGATGTAATGCCTGAAGTCACCCCGCTCTGCCTGTGGAAGCAGAAGGAACAGTCAGTGCCTGCAGGATCCCGGGCTGGGCACCAGCACTGGGAATGAGCCCCCAGAGCCCCCAGGATGTGCTGGATTCTGTCTCTCAGCAGCTCAGATGCCCAAGGTATTCGTCCTGGCTTAGGGGATATGATCCCTGGGTCAAGGTGGGGTTTGGGATCCCCTCACAGGCTTTTAGGGCAGGCAGGATGTCTCTGGAGGGTGCATGGACCACACAGGCACGGTGGGAGAGAGAGAGCAAAGGTTTCCAACAGACCTCCTTTCTATTGCAGAAGCTCATATGGAAAACCAAAACCTCTGGGAAAAGCCTGTCTTACATTTGGTGGGTGTGGGACCAGAGTGAACAGGGAGGGAGCTGTTCTTGCATCCCCATCCTGGCCCATGGGAAACCAGATGGATGCTCCAGCTGACACAGCTCCAGGCCCTCCCTGCAGCCTGGCCTGGCTCTAACAACAGCTCCAGCAACAGGAATGCCCAGGGATAAACGTGGGAAAGGTATTTCCACTCCAAAGATATTTCCAGCACCTTTCTTCAGGGCTGATGGATCTGAGTTAAATGGAACTGATGGCAGCAAAGCTTTAGAAACGATCAATGAAATGAATAACGCTGAATTGCTGAGCCCAGTTGATATTTGCCCTGGAGGAACTCAAGCATGAAATTGCTAAATTATCATCTCTGGTTGGTACTGGTGGCTCAGAGCTGCTGCAGCGCCAGAGGAGTGAAAAAATAATAAAACCCAAACGAGCGACACAGATTTCCAGGAAGAGCTTCAGGGAGATGAAGGGAATTACAAACTAAGAGCACTGACACCCTTTCTGGGCAAGGAAAGATAAGAGTAGCAGAGTGATAGTAGGTATGAGGAGGACTGACATGGCTTTAGCAGAGGAAAGCAGCCCTCAAGTCCCCAGAGGAAATCCCTGTATCCACAGCCAAGGGTGATGTGGGTGTTCCTGTCTATCTGGATTTGCAAAAGCTGCTGGATAAAATCCCTTCCCAAGGCACTGAAGGAAGCTGAACTGCCACAGCATGAGACAGACAGCCTGCAAGCAGCCTCAGAGCTGCTACAAGGCAGAAATCTGGGATTGGGAATAACTGCTGGATGTGTGCACAGGGATCTGCACTGGGCTGGCATGGCCCGTGTGTGTGGCACATGTTGAGGGAGGGAGGTGGCAGCCTCGGCAGGGCTGCTCCATCCTCCCAGATCAGAAGGAGAAATTAGTGAAAATGCAGAGAAAATGGTGCAGGGAGGTTTGTGCACACAGGATGAGGAGTGTGGGCTCATCAGTGGGGTGAGAAGGAGGAGAATGAGGAGGAGGAGGGGAACAGGGGCTGATCCTCCCTGCACTGGAATGAGGGCACTGGGTGAAATGAGGCAGGCTCATAGGAGAGAAAAAGTGCTTCTTCTACACATGACACCTCAGCAAACCACAAACCAGGTCACCCCAGGATGCTGAGAGTGCTAAAGGTTTATACAAGAGCAGAAAATGACAAAGTAAATCAATGAAAGCAAAAAGCCATCACAGGTTCCCACGTGTGCTCCCGGGACAGGACGCTGGGCAAGGTGTTTCATCACAATGGGTGATGTGGAGGAGTATTTTCCACTCTACGTGTGACCACAGCTGGTGGGGTGGGATGAGGGAGATTTGGGTTGGTTGGAGGTGTTTATCACTATTTGCAGGCTGTGAGGGCTTGGCTGCTGTGACATTGAGGAGCCTGGGGAGGTTCCTGGCTCTGCCCACAGCTTATCGTCACTTTTGGGACAAACCCTGGCCCCTGCAGACATCAGCTGGGGACCAGCTACAGCTCTGCCCTGGTGTCCCACAGGGTTTTCCACTCTGTGCTAAGCCACAGTCCCCAGCCAGGCTCAAGGCCCCTAAAAACTCCTGTTTGAGGTGGAGTTGAGTCCCCGTTCCTCTGCCCACCCAGCAGGGCACGTGCCACGGAGAGGCCAAGCGTGGCACTCAGGGGACACCTCTGAGGTGGCACTTACCCTTTCCAGCTCCTTCACCAGGATCCTGACCAGGACAGAGCTGTTACTGGGATTCTGGTCGATTTTTTTATGCAGGGTCCATCGCAGCATCCCTGAGAAGTGAAAGCCAGGAAAGGTCAGGTTGCCAAGCAGAGCAGGGAGGGATCAGGGTGTTCCACAAAGGAATCAGGAGATCTGGGCACTGTCGGTGCAAAAAACACCCACTGGGATGCTGCACTGACATCTCTATCAGAGTTAAACCAGATTTGTCTTCCCTCTGCTTCAATCATCCCTCTGCAAGGGACAAGCCAGGCTGCTGCCCTGATTCTGGATGCAGCTCTGAAGTGTTGTATCTCTAGTACTGGGAAACCTTTGGAAAAAGGTCCCCAGGACTGTGGGAGCTGGAGAACAGCAGGGCAGGGCAATGGACATGAAGTTTGTTTCCTGTTGCCTCTCTTGCTCTGTGCATCACTGCCTGTTTTCACAGCCTGCCCCAAGGAATTTGGGTTCCTGCTGGTCCCCAGCACACAGCACCTGAACACTGCTTGCCAACAGCACTCAGAGCAAGGACCGCAAAGCATCTCAGTCCTGAGGATGTCAAGGCTCATTCCAGACAAAATCCAACTTAATAAACTGTAAAATATTCCGCACGCTCCAAGAAAAATCAATTTTTCAAAATTAATTAGGTTTCCTAAGGTTGTGACAGTCCAGTGACTGGCTCAGGTAGAGTCTCATTCTCCAAATGCATAACAGAGAAATCAAGTGACTCTTCAGTGAGGAGCTGAGCAGTGCATGGCAAAACAGTATCCCCATGGAGAGAGGCAGGGAAACTCCAGCTCTGAGGTGCTGAGTGAGTTGGACAGGGATGTGCCAGGAGTCAGTGTCAGATCTGGGAGCTCTGCATTTATGTCCCAGCTTAATGCTGGACACCCTGGGTGAGTGTAGGGTGGGAAGGATGTAAAAGCCATGCAGAGGATGATGAAAACGGCTGGGGCTGGTGCACAGCAGTCACAGAACAACAGCATCACAGGATATTCCAAGTTGGAAGGGACCCACGAGGGTCACTGAGTCCAACTTTTAAGTGAATGGCCCGTGAGGGGATCAAACCCACAACCTTGGTGTTTTAGCACCATGCTCTGAGCAGCTGAGCTGATCCCAGGGTCACCAGGAGCAAAGATTTGGCACCTCCAAGAGCAGCTTAGGGAGGGCAGAGCAGCGCCGGGGGGGCGAAGCCACTGTGTCCCCCCACCCTGGCACTGCCTGAGAGAGGGGAGCAGGGGCTGTTGGGGCCAAGCAAGCCCCAGCAAGGCGGGCACTGACCCCGGGGGCGGTGTCGGGGGTGTGTCTCACCTCGGTCACACTGGCAGGCCGGGTGGTGCCCGTCCAGCTCTCGCAGCAGCGTCCGGACCCGGCGCAGGATGTCCGACTCCACCTCTGCGGGGACAAAGAGGGCGTGAGCAGCCAGGCCAGCACCCCTGGGAGACTGGGACAGCCCCGGGGGAGGAGAGACTGGTTTGGGTGAGCACAGGGACTGCACCCTCCACACAGCCCTCAGGGTGGCTGTCCCAGCAGGTTTCAATCCTGAATGAACCTCTGTGGAAACAGAGCAGAGCTGCCCGAGCCGGGTGGGAATGCCAACCCATGGACTGGTGGTCCCTGGAGCCACACTGGAGAGCAGAGTGCTCCTGCAGGGACGTGAGGGTAAAGAGGCTTTGCAGAGGAATGCTCATACATGAGCTCTGCAGAGCCTTCCTCTTCCCCTGTTCGATAAAAAAATCACACATTAAATATAGAACTAGCAAAATTAAACCACAACTTGGCACCAGGAACGAGCAGAAACACCTCTGCATTTTGGCACTGCACGGATTCAGCCTCAACCTCGCACCCATTGCAAGGAGCACTCTTGCAACAAGGTCTGCTGCCCACACCAGCAGCTCACCCCTCATGGGAAACACATGCAGAGCCACCAGGCTGGCATGTCCCCTCCTGCCTTCACCTGTGACCCCTCACAGCCTCTCCCTGACATGTAACCACCCACCCCTGGGCCTGGAGCACCTTCTGCTTCCCCAGGAAGGGACTCTGGGTCAGTGCTTCTGCCTGGTAACCACCACATGCACGTTGTACTCATCAAAACCAAACTGCATCCTGCTCTCGGCCAGAAATAAGTTCTACAACCTCAGTCCCAGTTTGGGGCATGACTCACAGTGGGCTGAGGGCTCATGAGCATGAGCTCACTGGGTGACAGTGACTGGCCACGCACAAAAATCAGCCCTGAAAGCACGTGGGTGAAGGACAGGAAGGCTGCAAGGTCCCTGTACCCCACCATGGTCCTGCCTTTGTGTCCCTCCTTACACTGGGCTCTTTCCCTACCAGCAAAACAATTCTTGCTCCTTTGTAATGAAAAAAAGCATTATATAAAGTTGGATATTATCAGGTGATGTTCTCCTGATGTAGGAAATTTCAGGCTGGAGCAGCCAGAACAGGGCCTGGTCCAGGGGAGGATCACAGAATCCCAGGATGGTTTGGGTTGGAAGGGACCTTAAAGATCATCTCATTCCACCCCCTGCCATGGGCAGGGATACCTTCCACTAGATCAGGTTGCTCAGAGTTCCATCAAATCTGGGCTTAAACACTTCCAGGGGCCTCAGATGTTTGTGGCAACTGTGTCCCAGGGCCCTTTCCTGGGGCAGGTTCCTGTCTCCATGTTCACGGGTGGGATCCCGATCATTGCCAGCAGTGACCAAGTGGGTCTTGCCTGCTTGGCAAGGATGCAAGGAGCAATTTATCCAGTTCCTAAGGGAACTCCAGACAAATACTGCCTGGTCAGAGTTGTCTCATCCACGTGGGACTGCCTTTTGGGATGGGTGTCATTACCACCACGTTTCCTGCCCAGTTTTGCTGCTGTATTTCTCATTCCCTCTGCACCCTCTTCTGCCACGTTTCCTTTTTCCCTGACATCAGAGCAAGAGCAGAAGGACACTCAGTTCACTACAGGATCCAGAGCTGTACTCAAGGACCACAGCCTCCAAACCTCCTCCCTTGGCTCCTGAAGGAGAGGGTTGAGTTGGTGGAACAGGCTTTGGGCTTTATGAGGAACGGTGACTGGGGAGGTGTGTTGGGACCTGTGTTGGCAGCTACAGGAAGGAAACCAGGAAAATACTGGGGGGATTTTACAGCTCAGCTGAAGGTTCAGACTAGCAGGGGCATCTCCCAGGCTTCCCAGGGCAGTGGTCACAGGCCCAAAGCTGACAGAGCTCAAGGAGGGTTTGGACAACGCTCTCAGGGACGGGGTGGGATTGTTGGGGTGTCTGTGCAGGGCCAGGGGTTGGACTTTGATGATCCTTGTGGATCCCTTCCAGCTCAGGATATTCTGTGGTTCTATGATCTCCACTGAGTGCTCCTGTGGGCAGAGGACCATCCAGACCTCATCATACAGGCAATGGGGCAGCTCTGAGTATCCAGCCCCTCGTCCCACACACCATCTCAGGAGGGGTTTGAAGCAAAAACTAGATTGTTTTTTGCCCTTCTACTGTGTCTTTTAGTGGTGGCTGAGGGTCATCAGGCAGGAGAGAGGATGTGGCACCCCACCATTCCCACTGGCAATGTCTACTAGGGAACAGGAGCACTTTGCCCCTCACAGCATCTCTGGTGCTGCCTCATGCCCAGCTCTCAGGGGAACATCACAGCCGGTGATGAGCCACTCTTTCCCTCTCCAAGCCCAAGCCTGCAGTGCCAAGGATCCAAAGAGATGGTAATCAGGGAATAGGGGCAGCAGACATGAGCTCTGCATAAAAGAAAACTGGGAAATGCAAAATTTAAAATATTTGGGATGGTCTATTCCTGAGTACACCCCAACAGCCAAAACAGTTCTCCTATTTGGTGACCCCAGGGGAGCGCATCCCTTAAGGATGCTTGTAGGGAGGATTCATTCAATCCAGGCTTCTGCAGAGGAGCACTTATTGCTGGGGCTTCAGTCAAGGCTGTGTCAGGAAACAGCCACACTCAGGGTCACAGTTATTCACACGTGCTGATGAAGCTCTGTGTGTGCACAGTTCATGTCATGGTGCCCACACAGGGAGAAACTACAGTGCAAAAATGTCCTTTGAAATAGGATTTTCCTCATTTTGGAAGTGTCATTTGGGAAAATGTCTTGGAAACTTGTATTTTCCTTCCTTTCTGTTTTGTCTCTGGTGATTTTGTGAAGCTCCTCAGTTTCACTATTCTGTTTATTGGTTTTGCACTCAGGGATTATGTAATAATGGACTATTTGAAATTTCCTGTTCTTTTCATTTGTGTATGTTTGTAATTACCAGGGGAAGCTTTTCCTGGGCATTGATATAAATACTGTCCTCTCCTTCTAAATCAAAGCAACCTCAGCCAAGATACGCTGAGGTTTCTTCACGAGGAGCAGAACGTCAAAAATATTGTTCCAACACAAACAGGAGAAGCTTTGATCTAAAAACAGGCTCAACCTACCAGCAACAAACAGTAGTGGCTCAGAAATTAGATAAAATGTTCCAGCAGTGACATCCTGACCTCGGGGTGCCAGGAGTTCAACACCATCTTGTCAAACAGCGTGAAAATAAAATATGGGGGGGGGGGGAAATGGACACCAAAAAATACAACAAAACATAAAACTGCTTTAAAACTCAAATGAGAAGGGTTGCCAGTCCTGAGGCTTTCAAAGTGCCCCACTACAGAAATCTTTTGGCTGCCCCTCCACTGCTTTGTGCCTCATTTCCACCCATCCAGCAGCATCTGCCAGCTCCTCGCAAAGAGCGAGGTCTGCCCAGTTTAGGGATCCGTGTGGTTTACTGGAGGGCGATTGAGGCAGAAGAAGGTGGCTGAGGGTTCATTCACGGGGATCCCCCCACCCCAGCACCCCGGGGGGCTCAGCATCACCCACCTGTGCTGTCCATGGCCGGGCTGGGGCTGCAGCACGGGGCGGGCACGGCGGCCGTGGGGCGTCTGCGCTGGGGGGGATGCACAGCTGCTCCTCACTCCACTCGGGCATGGCCTTGGGCCCGGGGTCTTGCCTGCAAAACATTAGGGCACACGTGGCTCAGGTTGGTTTTGGAGACCAGAGTCAGCCTGAAACTTGGGAGGGAGCATGAAGCCATCAGGACACTGTGGGTGTGGGACCCCGGCGTGGAGGGTGTCCAGGAGGGAGGCCCAGGGGGAGAACAGGCTGTGTTTTGCTGGAGAAACCTTCAGCTCAAAGCTGAACTCATCTGAATATTTGGCCCCCAAAGCCTCCCACAGCAAGAAGATCCCCAGGGATGAGCATCAGCATCACTGAGAAGGGCAGGATCAGGAACCTCACCCTCCCCAGGATTTAAGGAGAGATGTTCAATTTAAGTCAAACTGAGTCTGAAATGCAAAGTCCAGCTAAAAAAAAAAAAAAAAAAAAAAGAAAAGAAACAACCCAAAAAAAGCCTAAATTTCCATGAGTTTTTTATGCTTGATGCTGATCCACTGCCATCCTGATCCAGCATCCCAGAAAAAGAAACCCTGAGGAAAGCTCAGGGGACAGTTACACTGGAGAGGGAAGCCAGCCTGGAGCCAGACAGCTTCCCTTGCCCTCCAGTATTGTTCTCTCCTAAGAAAGGAAAAAAAAATAAGCCTAAGAGCTGAGGAGGAAGGAAGGGAGATTTGCCTGTGACACAGCTACAACCAGGCTGTGGAGCCGGCACGGGGCAGCCACGGGGGAGCAGAGGAGACATCAGTGTCTTCTGTGCAAAATATCCCCTCAGAGATGCTCAGCTGCAGCCATGTACAGCCATGTACCCCCAACTGGGTCCTCCTGGCACCTTGTGGTCCTGCCCCCCTCGTGCCCACTGCAAAGCAGCATCTCCCCCAGTGCATGTCCCTCTCCCACCTCCCCATCCAAGGGCACAGCAACACCCCCAGGACTGTGGTGCCTGTATTTGCAGCCAGAGTGAGCTGCAGCACGGCTTCCAGCATCTCTAGATTGAGCCTCTTCCAGCCTGCAGGTTTTATCTTCTCTTCCTGCCTTTAGGAGTGAAAAAAAAAACAAAAAAACCCAGGCCACAGGTCTGAATTCTGTGATTTCCCTGACACACCCACATTTATGGCTGGTAACAGGGAGCCCACCTCCATCATGCCCCAAAGCAGCACAGGCATCAACAACAGTGCAGTGCCATCAGCCCTCAGAATCCCTCCAGGCACAGGCAGACCATCAGCCCACACTTGTCTTTGCTCCATTTAGGATGCTCCATTTAGTCAGGTTTAAAACCTGACTCTACCCGGGTAGTTCCTAAATCTGCAAATATCCATCACCAAATCCAACAGCTCTGCAGCTGCAGGAGGAGGTGGACGGGCACATGAGGGAGTGCCACGGCCACACACCACTTGGGCCCCAAGAGCATCCTGCTCACAGCAGCTTCCAGAAGCCCTTTGAAGGTTTCCTGC